TGGAGGACATGGCATGACACCACCACCTGACCTCCACCAACCCTGCTGCCACCTGACCTGCCAGAGACCTTACGGTGAGAATCACTTAACCAGCAACCACCAAACATTCCCGTCACACTCACAAAACGAATTGCCTTGAAATGCTAAAAGTGTGCCAGAAATAACACAATTCCTTCAAAGAAGCCAAGTTAGAAAGTTAGACCATGGAAACTACTGGCCACTGCTACAAATGCACAGTCTTAAATTCCCCCAACCAAAATGCCTCTGTGAATATCAAGTGAGTGCCCCTCCAGACAGCGCGGAGGATCGGAGTTTTCATATCTAAGCTTATTATTCCTAATATTGCAGAGACACTTCCCTGAATTGTCCTTCTCCTTCCCAAATTCCCCATCTGACCAGATGTCTTTCTCTCTCTTGCTTTCACCTGTCAATCATGTTCACAGCTGAAATTTGATTTCTCTCCCAACAGTAACCTTAGATGAAATATTACCATAGGGGTCAGAACTGTCTGAACCTTGCCATAAAAGTTTGTTAACTCTTCCGAGACTCAGGAGCTATTTGCTTAAAAGTAATGGATTTTGCTGCCGGTTGGTTTGGGGTTTTTTTCTATAATATGTGAAAACGCAATCATAAAATAATGGAGGAAGGCTCAAGGAATTGTCCTGGAGAACAGCAGGCTAAGCAAGTCCTGAGATCACAAGTGTTCACAAGCTTTTCTTCTTTATTATATTGCTAAGAAGAATATGTATCACTGATTTATATAAATCTAATAGTCCTATATATATATATAAATTACAGGAAACACGAATGTTTTGCTATGGGATTAATGAAATTAGAAATGTTACAGTAGGAGCAAGGTGACGAAATATGTGCTGCACCTTTGCAAGGAAAATACACACTTCATGTATTTACTTGAGCTGAATTGTGACTTGGTTCTGTCCTTGCAAAAAAGCATATTGCACTTTAAATTTTCACAAAAAACCCCCCACAAATGGTCCGGTTTCCCTCTCATTTACAGTTGTGAAATACAGAAAAAACCATGCAATTAAGACAAAACCCTACCCAGGGTGTTCCTCGGGGAAGTGAGAGGAGCATCAGGCTCAAAATGAAGCTCTTCTGGTGCTCCTTGAGAAACCTATTCCTGCAGCCCATACACCATGAAAAACTCCTCTCAGTGCTATTTATTTTAGAGTTTAAAGCACCAATTACATCTTCCCCATTTGCATTTAAATTTTAAATGATAAACCTATTATTTAAATGTATTTTTAAGAATAGAAAATGAATCTATTATTTTATTATTTACATTTCTTTTAAAAATAAAAAATAAATCTATTACTGAGACAAGCCTGATTCCATGAGCTAAAAAAATTCAGCTGTTTTCTAATAGCACTTAACCATTGATCAAAGCACGGCAGGCTGTACGGCATCCTGTGCTCTTAACTAAAATAGGAGGTTTCATAAAAAAATTCACACAGGAATCTGTCATTGCAACCTTGGTGCTCATTTAACCCACTTAGTATTTTTATAGTCAAGGTCAATAAAAATCAGATTCCATGGAAAAAAAGAAAATAAAGTGCCTCTTTGAGTCCAGCAGGGGAAGGGATTGAAAGTTTTAATTCCCACATTTTCATTAGCGGTGTATTTTTTAGTCAATGTTGACAGACTGAATGAACATGAATTTCCAGAGGAAAGGGGGGCTGTGAATTAAACTCTATTGTAATTTGTAAGTACTGAAGTTGTCTAACACAGACTCATGATTTTCATCGAGATCTGAGGGAGATCTTCAGAAGACCCATCCTTAATCCCTGTAGCTGATGTCTGAACGCTAGCATTTGAAGAAAAAGAAAGAAAACATTTGCAAAGGATTATATATGAGTTGTGGGACACGGGAGAGCTGCCTGGCTGACAAAAGTACAAAGCCCCATCATTGCAAACGGTTTCTTGTAGGCACCTGAAAGTCAGTCTCACCCAAAAGCCCAGGAAACTGCACCATAGCCTGTCACCAGCTCCCTGGGGCTGGAGCAAAAAGCACCATCTTAGCAGCAGAAAACAAAGCAGCAAAATTACCACCCCTGCTGAAATATGTCAAATTGCTAACGAAAATGAAAACATACCTTTTTTTTTTTTTGACCTCAGGTAACAGGGATTTTCACATCACCGTTGTAGATGATTCTCTCGGGTACCTAATTTAGTAAATATATTAAAATAAACCGTTATTAAAAGGAATATTTAACATTGCAAAGCCTGTCTGTTGTGCCACTATGGTACAGAATAGGACCTTTTATATGCAAATCCTAAATTAAATTTAGAAAGTCTCTTGCACTGTTTATTAACTCTGAGTGAAGAAGAAATGAACACAGTTTGAAGTGAAACATTTCTAGCTCACACATCTAGTATTTACTTCACATTAATAACAGGAGACTCTTACTGACAAATTACCTTAAAAAACACATATTTTTGCCTCACCAGTGAATATCAGCTTCTAAGACACAAAAGCATGTAGCTTTCTGGATTTCTTTCTTAATGATCGTTATTAGCTGCAATAATGTAATTGGCAAAATAATAATCAATTTTTGTACACACTCCATTATTTTCCAGACAGTAGTTTAATAACAAAAGCAGAGCTGTCATTTCTCCCTGCAGTTACTCACACTGTACAAATTCATCCTGTCAACACATATTTAAAATCTAATTTAAAAAAAATTTCAACATAGAGTGAATCTTTGTACAATAAGTGAGATAAGTCAGCGAGTCAATTCACATTTCTTAAATATGGATATTTTGTTGTGTCCCTTACAGTCAACTTTCTCTCCCTGAGTGTCCATACACAGGCACATACATATCTTTTCTATAAACTGCCTGCAGGAATGCTTCAGCTTTGTCCATTTATTGTAACTGTGCAGCATAATCAGAGCAAGAATAGACCACAAGTCTGATTGACTTGAATAAAAAAAATAGGCAAGACGAACTATAGGTGCTTTTCCAGCATTTTGATTCCAGATCAGCTCTGAAAACAAAAGTCGGTGGCATGGGGTTTTTGTTTGTTTTGTTTTTCTTTTTTTCTTTCTTTCCTTCCTTCTTTTTTTTCTCCCTTTTCTTTTTTTTTTTCTTTTTTTTGAGAAAGGGGACCGTGCTTCCATAAATGCAATACTTGGCACCTGGCCCGGGATCTCTAAAAGCGAATGACTCCCATGGACCTTTGGTGTCATTTTCCTCAGGACGACCTCTCCTTTCATGCCAATCGGTTAATTCATCCTGTTATTAATGCACGGGGTCGAGAGGAACAGGTACTCAAGCCTCACACCTGAGGAGCATCCAGAAAGCGATGTGGTCAACCTGCTTTTAGTCTTTGCTGTGACCATCCCAGCTCTAAACCCACAACCATTCAGACACAGCACAGCAGAGCTGGAAGAGGAGGCACCAACTCTCTTCCACTGGCAAGGTGCATTGATTCATTTAGCAGCTTTATTTAACTATCAATTTATTAATAAGGAAGTAGTCAAAGACAGTAAGAGAGTGTGAAGGCAGCCAGAGACACTAAGCAGATTTATTCATTTAAGAAGTCTGATCACTTTCCTTCATTTTATCTGACAGAGTTGGTGTAAGACAGTTATACTTCAATAAGTTTTCTACTCTAAACTGTGCTATTTTAAAAGGATTTCACAATAAAGGAAGCTGAAAGACTGTGCACAGTCTGGAGACCGTATCTGGTGTGACATGAATATAGTATTTTAAACAGATTTAATCTTACAGTATTCCCTCTTCTACAATGACTTTGCAGGAGGAAACCCTACGGAAAGGAAAATCTGTTCATCCCACACCACAGAACACTGAATCGCATTGCAGGCTCCAGCAGCTCTTCCTACATATTAAAGTGCTTTCATCAGGGAATTTGGAAGCAGTTAAGTTGGGTGGAGGATTGGGAGGCGGGGGGAGAAAAAAATACTAGGTCTTGTTTTGTTCACTTTAAGGCTCGTTTTTATCGTTGCTGATGATATACTGTCACAGCTTTATGTGCTTGAGAGAGCAGGGGCTGTCTGCAGTGGAGACACCTCAGTTTCAGAAGCTGATACCAACAAATACCCTGATCCCATCCCCATCCCCTTTAGCAGCGACAGTCCACTGCCAAGGCCTTGGCAAGAACTTTCATCTCAAAATTGGAGAAGCAGGGTTCAGCCTCTGGAAAGTGAATCTGCCTGCTTTCTTACAGAAGAGGGCTTCAAGTTAATCATACACACATTCTGAGGTACATCCACATAGACTTGTGAAACTCAGCCTCGGCAAACGCCGCTGACCGTACTTCAGATTCTTTAAAAGCCATGAAATGTAAATCCTGCCTGCTCCCATTCCTGCTCCCTGCAGAGATATCAGGGCCTGATCCAAAATGTCATTTAAAAAGCTCCCTTTGGTTGCAGTGGGGTTTAGATTAGTCTCTGTATGAGCACAGGTGTAAAGGAAAAAGGAAGGAAGGAAAGGGAAAAATTTAAGGAAAAGAAAGGAAGAAGGAGGAAAGA